GCCTCTGTGCCTCCAGCGCTGTCCAGGCCCCGCGGGGACCTTCAGCCCTGACCTGCCCGCAGCTGCGAATGGGTCTCCGCTTTGGGCAAATGATGAGTGTCTTCACGCGAGAGGCCCCGCCCTCCAGGACGCCTGTGGCATCTCCATGCTGGGCGTCCTCGTCCTCGAAGGTTCCATGATGCCTTGATGCCCTGCCTCCTGTGGCCCCGCCAGGCCACGCGGTCCCCACACCATCCTGGGCGACTGGTCCTGTGGGCATCGGGCGGCATCCAGCCGCTGACTGAGGCCGCGGTAACTGTCGGACCCGTTCTGTCTTGTCCTCAGCCTTGCAGGTGTCCCCCAAAGTCTGCACAGCTGCCCTTGGGGGGGTAGCGTGGATGGTGGGCTTCGCCCTGCCTCCCTCCAAGTCCCCTCCTGGGGCTCGGGCTCCCGCTGAGCAGGGTCTGCACTCTTCCAGCACCAAGGACTGGCCGGTGCCGCCGACATCCAGGCCTGCATTCCGCCGTCCACCGTCCTGCAGGCCCCGCTCGGTGCACCCGGCCCCCTGGGCAGGCAGGACCCAGCCTTCCCTGGCTTCACCCAGGCTCCCCAGGGCTGGACAGAACACGGTGCCCCGTGCCCACAGCAGTGCTGAGCCGTCTCGAGCTGGCTCTTCCCAGCGTCTCCCCAACGTGCGCGTCCTGTCTGCAGCCTGTGGACGCCCAGGACACCCCGGCCTGGGGAGCAGCCCATCCCGACAGCCAAGTCTGGGGATGGCTCCCAGGACCCCCTCACCTTGCTCTCGCCCTGGACTGACCTCCAAGCTGAGACCACGGCCGGGAACAGGAGGCGGCCTGGCCATGGCCTGCCACGGGGCGCAGCCTTCTTCCCGGCCCGTGCACAGGCCCCTCTTCCTTGTGGGCCTTTGTCATGTTCCGAGCAGTTTAAAAAGTCACTTTCGTGGTCAGAATTGTTCCCAGGAGGCGTCCCAGGCGCTGGCCAGGCCCCAGGTGTGTCCTCACGGTTCTGGGTTCCTCTCCGCGGCCCCTCCCCAGCTCACGAGCCATATTGCTTTTTGGGGTTTTAAAACCGGGCTGTAAACACTTTGAACGTTGTTTTCCAGGTTTGATCAGAGACGCTTGGCTTCCTCCTCCGAAATGAATCCGCCTCCTCGGTGGGAAGAGGTCACAGAACCGCTCCCGCGGGGCCTCCCTCCCCCAGGGGCCCCCACGGGGCCCACAAGAGGTCGCCCATCGGACATAGGCCTGGGGGGTCACTGGTCAGGGAAGGCCTGGCCAGTCTGGCTGGGGCTCCTGCCTCAGCACAGCCCCAAGGGACACGCAGCCCTCCCAGGACGGGCTTCTCCCCACGATGCCCGAGGTGACCCCCAGACTCCATCCTGACCCAAAGCACCAACACAATAAACACCGGTCTCCCCTGGGGCCCAGGACCCCTGAAAGAGGCACAGAGGGTTTCCCACGGGGATGGCTAGGAGCACCCCCCCTCCTGGCCACCCTCCTCCCGGTCTGGCTGAGAGGAAACTGGGCATCGCCGGGGGGGCCCCAGCGCAGACCCCCCTCCCCCAGGCCAGTCCAAGGGACCCCAATGCGTTCCCAGGAGTGAAGGGGCGAGGCCCGGAGGGAGGGGCAGGTGAGCAAAGGGAGGTGTGATTGGCTTGTGGGGCAGGTCAGAATGTGGGCGGGGCCGTGTGGGCACCAGGGAAGTTGCAGGGGGTGGTAGTCGTGTGGGTGTGGCTGGAGGTGGGGGGTGGGCATGGCGTGTGGGGTGGTCGGTCAGCAGCATGCCCAGGGCGTGGTCAGGGTGCAGTCCACACGGCGCTCCAGGAAGTCCCTGTGAGCAGCTAGGGAGGGTCCAAGGGCCCCAGGCCCAGAGCCGGGCTAGGGCTGTGGGCCCTGCCCCTTCCCACACCAAGGAAAGGCGCCAGGTCCCGGTGGTGCCCAGTGGTGGGCACTGAGGATCCAGGAGCTGGGCTGGAGGGTCCAGGGCGGGAAATGACAGTGAGGGCAGCAGCTGTTCCCAGCAGCCAGGGGCACCTCCTCCTCCAGTGAGTTCAGTCCAGATGGCCCGGCCCCTCTCCTGGCCTGGCCTGCACCTGTGCCTCCCAGCAGGCAGGCGGGCACCCGCCCTGGGCATGCCCACTGGAGCCTGGCAGAGCAGGAGGCGGAGGCTGTGCCCCTTCTCTTTCCTACTAAGTAGGAGATGAAGTGCCTTCCTCCTCCCAGGCTGCCTGCGAATGGCACTCCTCCTGGAGGAGACTCAGAAGTCAGCCAGTGC